GTGTTTTTACTGCATGAATAATACTCAGTTTTTTTACTTAAGGTAATATAAATACAAACAATAATAATACTAGTAATAATGATAATTACAACACGTGAAACTTATTTGTTTATATTTGGACATTGTCTTCTAGCATTTGAGAACAGAGAGCCCTGTTTTTTTTTTTTAATTTACAAAACCACAACCTCTAAATATCTTCTTGTGTTGTTTGTGTTTTGGCTTCCTTGCTTTTATCTTGCATGTTACACTTTTCTTATGCTGAATAAGTACTCCAGTCAGTCAATAGCAGATTTTTGTACTTTACTCATGTGAACATTAAACTACATAAACATGTACTAATTGATGGATATAAYACCAAGCTTTTACGTGTAAATTGAATGCATCACGCCGTTTCATGTTATGCTGACCAATAAACAAATATTTAGTTGATTTTTTTTAAATTGAACTCTTTTTACTGTATGAGTAAAAATGAACTAATGCAAGTGTACCATACTTTTTTTTTTGTGTGTGTGTGTGGAAATAACGAGCAGTGTGTTCAACGTAAACATTTAGAGTTGAACTATTATTTGTGTTTTCGGTGTCTTAAAGCGAGCTTCAGGCCTCATTTGTTACAAAACCTGTTGCTGGAAAGGTTTTGCTTGTCAATGGTTTTGAAACATAACACCACCACTTTCTATAAAAGTAAATAAATAAAGCTTAATAGGCTACAAAACGCAATACTATAATTATAAATAACTAATTTAGGCGAATGTATTCAGATCTTTTTTTACCATGTTCTTTCAAAATAAATGTTAAAAGCAAGTTAATGTTCCATTAGCCTATATAATTTTATATTGTGCGCACGTTTCCTCTTGGTGTCACTGTAATATTACAAACCCACGGAGACATGGACCTTCCCCAGAAAAGAAAAAAAAAATCCTTTGTTTAGTGTTTCACCTCGGAGGGAACAGGCGACATATTATGTTATGCCAGACAAGTCCGTTGTTTTATCTGAGATAAAACTAATAATAATAATAATAATACAGACACGAGTGGATGTGTTTGCAGAAGAAACAATAATGAGTGGAGGGACATTTGAATCCATGGATCACCGCTGGGTTTTATTTCATCTTTTTCTGCTGCTCGTCGGGAGGGAGACTATGGCTGAACTGAGGTATTCCATCCCGGAGGAGGTGAAAGACGGAACAGTAGTTGGAAATATTGCGAAGGATCTGGGTCTGGACAAAGCCTCTTTGATTGACCGTCACTTCCGTGTTGTGTCTGGTTCAAAGGAGGAATTTTTCGAGGTGAATTCGGACAGTGGCGTCTTACAGGTTCATAAAAAAATAGACAGAGAGGAGCTTTGTCACGGCAATGCAGCGTGCCTGATGGAGCTCAAGATTCTTGTTGAAAACCCTTTAGAGATGCATCACGTTGTTGTAGAAATCACCGATGTAAACGATCACTCCCCTATATTTTCTGAGAAGGAGCAAGTGCTTGAAATAGGAGAACAATCATCACTGGGAACCCGATTTCAGTTGAATGCGGCCCGTGATCCAGATGCGGGGGTTAACTCCATCCGCACATACACTTTAACGGCAAACGATCATTTTGACTTGGAAATAAGCCAAAGTGACGAGGACAAAGTGCCATTTTTAGTGTTAAAGAAGTCATTAGATAGGGAAGAAAATAATCAACACTTGTTATTTTTAACAGCAGTGGATGGAGGTAGGCCACCAAAAACAGGAATATTAAATGTTTCCATTATTGTTCTTGATAATAATGACAACCGTCCAAAATTTAATAAGGAAATTTACCAAATAGAAATACAAGAAAACYTATCAATTGGTGCAACTCTTACTAAATTAAGCGCTGTAGATCCAGATGAAGGCAATAACGGGGAAATAGAATACAGTCTCAGCAAAACATTAGCACGTAAAATTTATGACATATTTGAGTTGGACAGAATGAGTGGAGAGATTACTTTTAAACAATCGGTGGACTTTGAAGATACAGATATTTACAAAATAGATGTTCAGGCCTCTGACAAAGGACAACCTCCACTGATAGGCAGGTGTAGAATTATTGTTAAAATAAAAGATGTAAATGACAACAKACCAGAAATAGAAATTACGTCTTTGTCAAATACTGTCCCTGAAGATTCCAAACCAGGTACAGTTATTTCACTGATCAGTGTCACTGATAAGGACTCGGGAGTTAATGGTAAAGTGATTTTGCAAATAAGTGATTCTGTACCATTTGAATTAAAACCTTCCTACAAAGAGAATATTTATTCTGTTGTTACAAATAACCTTTTGGACAGAGAACAAGAGCCACTGTATAAAATAAACATAAAAGCCACAGATTGTGGGGAACCTCCTTTATCTGCTTTGAAAACTATTTTAATTCAAATTTCAGATGTGAATGACAACAGCCCATATTTTTCCCAAAACCCTTTGCACTTTTATCTGTTGGAAAACAACGTGGCAGGAGGATCACTTTTCTCTGTAAGCGCTTCGGACAATGACGTCAATGAAAACGCAGCTATTTCATATCATATACACAGGCAAAATGACGTCACTARATTCCTTAACATTAACTCAGAAAACGGACAAATAACCACGCTAAGAAGTTTTGACTTTGAAAGTCTGAAAACATTCCAGTTCCAAGTTGTGGCCACAGATTCTGGAGCTCCGTCTCTGAGCAGCAACGTGACAGTGAACGTGTTCATTCTGGATCAGAACGACAACGCTCCAGTCATCCTGTATCCAGTCAGCTCCAACGGTTCTGCTGAAGGCGTGGAGGAGATTCCCCACAACGTGAACGCAGGACACTTGGTGACTAAAGTCAGAGCCTATGACGCTGATATAGGATATAATGGATGGCTGCTGTTCTCACTGCAGGAAGTCAGTGACCACAGTCTGTTTGGTTTGGACCGCTACACAGGACAGATCAGAACACTTCGCTCGTTCACAGAGACAGACGAGGCTGAGCATAAACTGCTCATACTGGTCAAAGACAATGGCAACGTGTCCCTGTCAGCAACAGCTACTGTCATTGTCAAACTGGTGGAGRCCAAAGAGGCTTTTGCAGCTTCTGATGTGAAAAGTGCAGCAAAAGATGAGGAGGACAATAATGTGACTTTTTACCTCATCATCACTCTGGGCTCAGTGTCAGTTCTGTTCCTCATCAGCATCATCGTGCTGATTGCAATGCAGTGCTTCAAGTCTACAGACTATACTTCTAAATATCTGCAGGAGGCTAATTATGATGGGACACTGTGTCACAGCATCCAGTACAGATCTGGAGACAAACGCTACATGTTAGTTGGACCCAGGATGAGTATYGGATCTACTATAGGACCCGSAAGTCATGCAAACACTCTGGTGTTACCTGACAGAAGGAAAACTTCTGAGGAGGTAAGACACGCTTTACAAATTGTATTTACTGTTGCAGACTAAACCGTTTCATCACTGGCCTGTGTCTCCATTTCATATCTAATTGTTTGGCATTATTGCAGGGGTTTGCAAGTTTTTAATTCTTCACGGTCTGCTGGTAATCTTAAAGTTTTGTCAATTTGAAATAAAGAAATACATTTATCTATATATATATATATATATATATGACTAATACATAACAATTTTTGCCTTTCTGAATTTATAGCAAAATGTGAGGTTCATGTTTTGACATAAAATTGTATTTGCTCACACAACCTTTTCCTATTTATGACTTCTTTAGTTTGTTAGTTTATACTATTAAATATACATTTTCGCAAAACACTTGCGCACACATAGTTCTTAGTATTAGGTAACGGACAGTCGGAAGGGAAAGTGTCACTGGCCGTGGTACTGAAAAAAAAAAGTTTAAATCCACGGAAGCTTTAAAAATGACCGCACGTTATGCTACTACGTAATAAAAACGCTCGAACTGAATATATTTTTAGAGCATTTTCATGTGACGTTTATGTACGGAATATATTTCATAAAAGTATCTGCACATTAATGTATTCCAAGTGTATTTAAACGCTTTATGGATAAACTTAAAAAAAGAAACAGAAAGTAACACATTTTTTACTCTTTGAGGAGGATAAATTGAAATCTAGGMATTGCAGACTTTTAATCAATTTAAAACAAAACTATGACATCCACTTGGTGTCGTTGTGACATAACCAGCCAACAGTAGGGCAGTCCCTCCGCAAACCTTTTGTTTGGTGATTCACAGCAGAGGACACGTTCGGGGAATGAAGGGAGGTTTTCTAAAACCGTGTTAGGGATTATATTTTTTTCGAGACTTACAGTAATTTAAATAAGGCTTACACCATGGCGGGGGAGAGACGATGCTGCGGGCTTATTTGTGTTTTATTTTTCTTGCTGATTTTCGGAAAACGGGCCGTGGCTGAGCTGAGGTACTCCATTCAGGAGGAGATGAGAGAAGGGACCATCGTGGGAAATGTTGCTAAGGACCTTGGTCTGGATAAATCCATTTTAACCTATAGACGGCTGCGAGTTGTTGCGGGATCTGACGATGCCTTTTTCGATTTAAATTCGGACAGRGGCGCTTTACAGGTTCGTAAAAAAATTGACAGAGAGGAGCTTTGTCAGGGTAGTGGCGCATGCGTGATGGAGCTAAAAATACTCATTGAAAACCCGTTAGAAATGCACCATGTTATTGTAGAAATTGTTGATGTGAATGATCACTCGCCCACTTTTCCTGAAACGCATCAGCACTTTGAAATAGCTGAGCACACATCGGTCGGAACGCGGTTCCAGCTGCAGGCGGCCCGTGATCCAGATMCGGGAGTGAACACCATTCGCACTTACACTCTGTCTTCTAATGATCACTTCGAAATAGATTTAAGCCAAAGTGATGACGACAAAATACCATTTTTAGTGCTGAGAAAAGCWTTGGACAGAGAACAAAATAATGAACATTTGTTATTTTTAACTGCAGTTGATGGAGGCAAACCTCCAAAATCAGGAACACTGAACGTTTCTATTATTGTTCTGGACAGTAATGACAACCGACCGTCCTTTAGTCAGAACAATTATCAAATAGAAWTATACGAAAATGTCACTGTTGGCACAGTTGTGGCTAAAATTAATGCAGTAGACCCAGACGAAGGAGTTAATGGAGAYATTATATATAGTCTCAGCAAAGTATTAGCAAGTAAAGTGCATACAATATTTGAGCTRGACAGTTTGACAGGAGAAATCAAATTAAAGGGATCTTTGGATTTCGAAGAATCTGACATTTACAAACTTGATATTGAAGCATCTGACAAAGGAACACCTCCGTTGTTGGGAAGATGTAGAATGATAATGAAAATAAAAGACGTGAATGATAATTCYCCACAAATTGACGTCACATCTTTATCCAACACTGTATCTGAAGACTCAAAACCAGGCACAGTGGTTTCACTCGTCAGTGTTACAGATAAAGACTCTGGAATGAATGGGAAAATTATTTTAAGCATAACAAATAATGTTCCGTTTGAATTAAAACCGTCTTATAAAGAAAATATATATTCCCTTGTTACAAAACAGCATTTGGATCGAGAAAAAGTGTCACGTTATGAAATCATACTGCGAGCCACTGATTGTGGAGACCCTCAGTTATCTACTATTAAATCCATCCATATTCAGATTTCGGATGTGAATGACAACAGTCCTAGATTCGAGCAAACTCCGTTACAGTTTTATCTGTCTGAAAATAACGTGGCAGGAGGATCAATTTTCTCTGTCAGCGCTTCGGACAATGATGTCAATGAAAACGCAGCCATTTCGTATCAAATAGCGAGGCAGAATGACGTCACGTCATTCCTTAACATTAACTCAGAAAACGGACAAATATCAGCGCTAAAAAGCTTCGACTTTGAAACTCTGAAAACTTTCCAGTTCCAAGTTGTGGCCACAGATTCTGGAGCTCCGTCTCTGAGCAGCAACGTGACAGTGAACGTGTTCATTCTGGATCAGAA